TGTATATAAAATTTTTATTCTTGTGAGACAGGGTCTTGCTCTGTTGCCTGGTCTAGAGTGCAGTGGCATCATTATAGCTCACTGCAACCTTAAACTCCTGGATTCAAGTGATCCTCTTGCCTCAGCCTCCCAAGTAGCTGGGACTACAGGTGCATACCACCACACCCAGCAAATTTTTCTATTTTTTTGTAGAGATGGGGTCTCAAGCTGATCTCAAACTCTTGGCCTCAAGCTATCCTTGTGCCTCGGCCTCCCAAAGTGCTGGAATTTCAGGTGTGAGCCACCACACCTGGCTTCAGTTCTTTATATTTCTTAGAGTTCCATACTGTTAGCCTGTGTAGAAGATGGAAAGCAAACTTAAAATTTTTTTCTAGAAGGAACTTTAAATTAGTAGAACATAGTTTTCCTTCTGGTTTGCCAGCCAAATTAAATTGATAATTAGCTAGATATAGTTTGCAGGACATCTTTTCACATTTATTTTTATCGGGTAGCTATTTAAGGAATTCAGTGGAAACTCACTCAAAAATCAAGGATAAATATAATCTGAAGAGCATGATGTTTTCTTTAAAGAATGTAGAGTAATTTATTTAAAATGTGGAATCATTAGATTGTTTAGATAAGCTAAGAAAAATTAGTATCTGAATCAGATGGAAAATTACTGTTGCACACAGGATACAATGTTATTTTAGTAATAAAGTTAAATTGTTAGGCTTACTGGTATTAGTGTTGCTAAGACTCTCATCCCTTACATGTCCAGTTTTAAGTAACTTATAAAAGTGGAACATAAATGCACAGCATGTTTTAAGATAGTATTATTTCAGTTTTTGAAGATTGTTTGACCATGAAACCCATTAATAGTGACGTTTTGCTTTTCTTTTCTTCTCCAAAGGTTTAGGTTATGCTGATGTTGAGAACCGCGTACCTTGTAAGCCAGAGACAGTTATGAGAATTGCCAGCATCAGCAAAAGCCTCACCATGGTTGCTCTTGCCAAATTATGGGAGGCAGGGAAACTGGATCTTGATATTCCGGTACAACATTATGTTCCTGAATTCCCGGAAAAGGAATATGAAGGTGAAAAGGTAGTGAAGTTCACATTTTGTTTTCTTAATGGCATGTTAAATGGTTTATGCTGGAATTTATATTTAAAATGTTTCATAGGATTCTTTGGTTTTGTTTTTAGTTGTAATTAACAGATTCAGTTTCTTTTTTTTTTTAGTCCAAATTATAATTGGATAGGTATTTTTCTGAAATTTGAAACTAAGGATTTGTACATGACATTTTCCCAGCAGCAGTCCAAAATGGAAAATATTACTGAGGCATTATTCCAAAGCTACTAACTTTTTATTATACAGTTTAATATTATAATTGGATTTTCATGTTTTTATAATTAGGTTTCTGTCACAACAAGATTACTCATTTCCCATTTAAGTGGAATTCGTCATTATGAAAAGGACATGAAAAAGGTGAAAGAAGAGAAAGCTTATAAAGCCTTGAAGATGATGAAAGAGATGGTAGCATCTGACCAAGAAAAAGAAGGCAAAAGTAACGAAAAAAATGACTTTGCTAAAGCTAAGACAGAGCAGGATAATGAAGCCAAATGCCGGAATTCAAAACCTGGCAAGAAAAAAAATGATTTTGAACAAGGAGAATTATACTTGAAAGAAAAATTTGAAAATTCAATTGAATCCCTAAGATTATTTAAAAATGATCCTTTGTTCTTTAAACCTGGTGAGTGTTAATTCCTTCTCTTAACAAAATTGTCATTATTGAAGGGTTAATTTTCAGGAAATACAAAATGATACCATCTTGCAGCACATTCAGTGAGGTTGATGATTGTGGTATGGCCAGCGCAATACTTGCCCTTTTGTCTGTAGTTCCTAACAAAGCCTAGCATCCAGGGAGACAGTTGTTTAAATTTAGCCTCGTTGTAGGCTACCCAGTCATTTAGAGGATTCTCAGTATCAAGATATGCAATTATGAAAATTATGGAGAAATGTTAGAATAATAGTTCTCCAAATAAAACTTTGACCAAAGTGTACATGATAAAGTATTGCTAATATTTTAGAATTTAGTTAGAATTAAATTGGCAACTTATTTTGTACCTTCATTTCTTAAAGAAATGAGTAATCATCAACTTAATTTTATTTCCCCAAAAGCTGATCTATAAAAATAATTATCTTCATTTTTGTATATTTGAATATGGTACATATTGAAACCACTTTAAGTTCTTTAAATTTACCATAAATATATGTATTTTTATTCATTTTCATTTTAAGAATTGTTTTTACTGTGAATAGATATTATGTAGATATAACTAATGGGAGCAAAGAACATAATAATGCATTTTGTTTTAAAAAATAAAGTTCTTGAGACGGGAGGATTGTTTGAGTTCAGGATTTCAAGATCAGTCAGAACAAGAGTGAGACCTCATCTCTACTAAAAATAGAAAAATTAGCTGGGCATCATGTCACGGACCTGTAGTCTCAGCTACTCTGGAGGTTAAGGCAGGAGGATAGCTTGAGCCCAGGAGTTTGAGGTTGCAATGAGCTACAATGATGCCATTGCACTATACCTGGGGCAACAGAGTAAGACTCTGTCTCAAAAACAAAAAAAGAAAAGGAAACTGAACTCCCTTCCTCACTCCCCTCTTCGTAATAAATAAATAAATAAAGTTCTTATCCATTTTTAGTACAGATCATATAATTTTAAGTTTTCAGAATCCAATATGATATAGTGATATATTTGAAACAATATCTAGAAATATGTATTTGTATTTAAATATGTATTTTACACAAGGGGTTTTTAGGTCTACATATATTTTATTAAAATAAGAACTGTGCACCTATTTATGCCTTAAACATGGGTAGAAAGTATATGAAAAACTTCTACCCAAATTTGGATTTCTTCCCCTTCCTGTTTTATTGTTAGTTTGAAGGATTTTTGTTTCATTTTGTTTTGAGGTAGGATTTATTTGCTTATTTCATTATCAGAGAATGGAGCAGAGTCATGTGAAATTTTAAGTATACTAATCATCATTTTATTCTTGTGTTAAAGACATGGAATGAATAAGCAGGGCCTTTGTAAAGTTAACTAAATTTGTTGATGTATCATCCATAATCTTTTTCTAAATGCTGAAGTAAAATACTGCAGTTTTAAAGATATGCCAATTTTCAGTGGGAAAAATATTTTACATATTTTTGAATAATAATCAAGCATTTTCTTTTTTTCCCCCTTGCAATGATGTCTCAAGGTAGTCAGTTTTTGTATTCAACTTTTGGCTATACCCTACTGGCAGCCATAGTAGAAAGAGCTTCAGGATATAAATATTTGGACTATATGCAGAAAATATTCCATGACTTGGATATGCTGACAACTGTACAGGAAGAAAATGAGCCAGTGATTTACAATAGAGCAAGGTAAACAAATACCTTTTGGTGTGTGCAGCTATATCTCATCCTAACTCTGTGTTTTCGATTAAAAGTCAATTTTCCTTGTTTCCATTCCAAAATCAACTTGCCACATTATGAGAGCTTTTCTACATATTTATTTTTTTATCTATAAATTGAGGGAAATAAAACATGTTTGTAAAGTTCCTCAAGACCTTCAATGAAAGACAGCAATAATAATTCAAGCACGTGAATAATTAAACCAAACGTGCACCCATCATGGGCATCTGTAATTTGCTCTTTAATCATTCGTTTTCTTATGTTTTAGCTAATGCTTTGTTTGTTTACATTTTGTTGTCTTTTAATTGTTTTAATATTTATTTATTTATTTATTTAATATTTATCTGGGCGAGGTGGCTCATGTCTGAAATCCCAACTACTTGGGAGGCTGAGGTAGGAGGATCACTTGAGGCCAGGAATTGGAGACCAGCCTGGGCAATATAGCAAAACCCTGTCTCAAAAGAAAAAAAATTTTTTTAATTTTTTTTTTATAAAGAAAGAATTTCATACTTACCAGAAAAATTGCAGAATAATACTAAGAATTCACATACACTCTTAATCCAGATTTCCCTAATGTTATCATTTTATTACATTTGCATTATCTATCTGTATGTTATTTTCTTCTGAACCATTTGTAAATAAGTTGTAGACATGGTACCCCTTTACCCATAAGTACTTAAATTTTTATTTTCTAAAAGCAAGGACATTCAGGAAATTAACACACAATGCATTTATCAAATCTATACACCTGATTCAAATTTTTTCAATTGTTCCAATAATGTCCTTTTATAGCATAAGAAAAGAAAAATTTTTTCTGGTCCAGGATCCCACATTGCATTTAGTTGTCATGTCTCTCAGAAGTCACATGATGTCAGCTTGTCCTATTATTGGTGATAGTGTTTTAATCTCTTTTTGATCATGCCTGTCAGGTTTTTCCTCTGTAAAGTTACTATTTTTCTCTTTTTATTAACAACTATATTTTGGGGAGATACTTTGAGACAATGTAAAAATCCTCTTTCTCATCAAATTTTCTACTACTTTTAGCATCCATTGATGATTCACGACTGAATCAGTTATTACAGTGTTAGTTGCCAAATGGTGATTTTCTAGTTCCACACTTCATTCTATATTTGTTAGCTGGCATTCTATTATAAGAAAGTGCTTTTCCTTCTCCTTTATTTATTTATACATTTATTCATACCAGTATGCACTCATGGATTCTTATTTTAGTTAATGAGTTATAATCTGTCATTATCATTATTTAATATCTTGCTTTTAAAATATTAAGCAGATGGGGTGCAGTGGCTCATGCCTTTAATCCCAGCACTCTGGGAGGCTAAGGTGGGAGGATTGCTTGAGGCCAGGTGTTTGGGCAACATAGTGAGACCCCATCCCTATATAAAATTTTTTAAATTATCTGGGCTTGGCGCATGCCTGTAGTCCTAGCTGCTCTGGAATCTGAGGCAGAAGGATTGCTTGAGCCCAGGATTTCGAGGCTGCAGTTAGCTATGATTGTGCCATGGCACTCCAACACTCCAGCTCTTAGCAACAGAGTGAGTCCCTTTCTCGTAAAAAAAATGAAGCATAGATAGATATTAAATTAAAATGATTCGTTATTAGGTTGCTTACCTATATGTATATATTTTTAATAAATTTATGTTTGATTTTGTGTGTTAATAGTCAATATCAAAATGCTCTTCTGATTTAGATTATGTAGACCCATTAGTAAGAATAATTAATTAATTTTTGGTATATTATAAAAATATTAAGTGCTATCTAACTAAAATAATTGAACATTTAAAAAATATCTGGGTTTAAAGGACTATTTTATAGTTAGGCATCCTTAGGCACTTTTAAATTATAAGGATTAAGATTTAAAACATGTAAGCCATAGTTTCTCTCAGTTTTCTTTTACAACTTTTAAATCGAAAATATCAAGTTAAAGTTACTTATATACATTTGAATTGGGTGTTCAGACAAATCCTAAGCAAATTGCTTAAGGAGATTTTAATATAATTTATGGAGAGGCTTCAGAACACTTTGATAAATTAACTTGATTTTTTTATCCTTAGGAGAGAAAAATGCTATGATTTTAGATAATTTCATATTTGACTCATTTACCACTATAATAGAAAAGAGCTTAGCCAGCTTTTTAGCCTTTAAAAAATTTTAAATTTAGTTTATGCTTTGTCTTATGGAGGGATTTTCTATGATTGGAGTTTTAGTTACTGATTTAGTTACTAATCTAAAATAATTCAAGCACAACTATATGAAAATGCTAAAAAATGTAAGTGTTCAGTTGAGATGAGACAGGATTAAAATAATGTAAACCAAACACGTAAGGATTCTTTGAACTGGTCTACTTCAAAAGCACACATGGAAGTATTCAAATTTTTTAATTATTTCATTAGATTTTTAAAATTTGAGCTTATAGAGAAAATTTTGAGACTCCAGAAAATGAAAAAGAAAAAATTTAAGTTGAACACAGTGTTAATAAATGCAGTAAAGAGTTACGTTACCTTTTAAAGCAATTTCGCGTTTCATTATTACAGGAAAAAGTATTTGAAAAGCAAATACTTGGTAACTTTAAAAAAAAAAACTAATTCAGAAAGAGCAAAGAGAGAATACTTATGAAAGGGTAGTTATGTCAAATGTTAGGAAATGAGTCAGGAGTTTATAAGCTGAATTGTCTTTCTAAAGAAAGTGATGAAATGGTGGCTTTTTGGGGGAGCGGATTATTTTAGTTTAATGTTCCTATCCCCACATTAATTTTATTCAATCTTTTGTTGTATTTAGTTAAATTATCATTTTAAATTTACCAGCTTATTTAAAAGGATTAAATATGCATTGCAAATAAGTCTATGGCCTAACAGAGATTTTGGCAACCTAAAAGAAATCAGGTTAATTTTTTAAATGGCATGTGGTTCTCAACCACTTCAGATCTTTGTTAATTATTTTTAGGTCTAGCATTATATTGTACCAGAAGCATAAGAAAAAAATGACGAATACCAGAGGTTCCCTAGTAAAAGATTCTCTAGTAAAGATGGCATAGATGCCTGACCATATTTTGATTTAGATCTACGCATTTGAAAATGAATATCTAGATCTATATGTAAGGGGAAGAAGTACATCATGTGTACTCATGGAGCCTCTTTTCTAAACTGGAAATTAAGGCTCTATGAATGTACAGACTGCACATCAGATATCATTTGCTGTTGTCTTATTGAGTGACTGATTTGTGACTTGCACTGAAATCAAAATATGGCATATGAGGGTGAGTTAATTTCATTTTATTTCCCATTATTTGAAAAAAGGCAGTGAGTTTCCATTTCTAGTGTTAAGGGTCCCTATCAGCTCTGGGATTTGGGGGGGATTTGGATTTTGGTGTTTTTTTGTTGTTTTTTGTGTTTTAGACTTAGTAGTACCCAATGATTCTAAAGGGGTAGTTGATTCATTTCAGTTAGATTAAATGGGCTGCTGAAATAAAATAGGGCACTAAAAGAAGGAGGAAATATTGTTACCTAGGAAAATATTCTGTCCATTTTCTTTGTCTTTATTTTATTTGACACAGTATGTATTTGGGCCTCTAAAACTCAACTCTGATTCTTTTTTGGTAATAATTAGTTTAAAGGAATTTAAAGGCACTAGCTTTTTGGGGGAATTCGGGGAGTAAAAGGAATCTTTTCAAGGATATGTACAAAAAAACCTTAAAGCAAAACTTAATAAATGCGTATGTTTCTATTCATTTGCTTTACGGTACCATTTTACAGTAAATAAAATGTTTCCAGCTTTGTCTTTTAGTCTACTGATTTCTTGGGTGTAATCATAAATCTGTTTATAATATCTTGACTAAGTCTTTTTAGAGTTATTATATTCCCAAGAGTAAATATTTATCTTCTTTATCATTTCTCTCTGTATGTGTGTGTTTAAAATAGTGCCATCTTGTGTCTGTCACTCATTTAAAGTATTTCCCCAGAATCCTACCTCACAATACTACTTAAATTTCTTTGGTTAGAATTTTAGCCATAAGGACACACTTAACTGTAAGGGAGGCAAGGGAATTTTAGTTTTTAACTGGGTACATGGTTGTCCTGAATAAAATCAGGGTTTTCTTAAATGGAAGAATAGAAACAATTGATTCTGTATAGGCAAATAAACTTTCTAACTTTTTAAGCTAACACCCACAGGGGAGTGGAGTGAATGTGCTTGCCACTGAAAGATACTCAATTTGTTGATTGGGGGAAATCCTTAGTCAATGCCTTAAGATATGACTAGACCTTGGTCACATTTTCCATGTTTAGTACAATGTTTGCAACAAAAATCTCTAATTTTATAATTGAATGGGACCAAAACCAAATAAAATGAATGTTTTCTGAAGTTTCCTGTTTTTTTGACAGTATAGATTTGGCCTTTACCTTCTATTTATTTTCTAGAGTGTCTTCCATAATAAAGAATTATTCCTTGTCTAGCTCCTTTTTATGCCTTTAGATCAGCAGTCTCCAACCTTTTTGACACCAGGGACTGGCTTCATGGAAGACAATCCTTCCATGGATGGGGGGTGGGGAGGTGGGGTGGCTGAGAGACCTGGGGGTTGGGGACCACTTTAGATGATAGACTCTACTAGTAGTTCAATCCAAATGTTAATGCTAAATGCTAAAGTGGGATTAGTTTTTTATATGTTTTAAATTGTTTTTAAACTTCTCATAGCAATAAAATACAAAGTGATAAGTCTTTACAAAGGTATTTAAGAAGCATTTTAAAAATAAAAGTATTTTAAATTTCTAAGTATATTTCTGTGGTTATATAATGTTCTGGAGCACAATCTGGAGATTCTTAAAGCTGCTTGTCATCTGGCATCATTCCTTCAGTTATTCAGTTAAAAAGATGTCCCAGTAACTTCCTCAGGAACTTGTGTCTATATTCCATCCTTTTAAGCAGAAATTTCCTAGGAATCTGAAATAGTAAAGTTT